TTTGTAAATTTGTGTGTTTCATACTAAGGACGATCCACACTGCAACCACGACCTCTAAGCAACTACGACGACGCTAGATGCTGCTTTCTCTCTCTCTCTCTTTGTTTTTGTCTATTTGATCTCTGAGCAACAACGACGGTCAACGATTGTTGTCCTTTTTGAAAAAACAATTGTTGCTCCCGACCTTGCGGAGTCTTTCTCATAATTCGGGAATCTTGTAGCGGGGTATTCCAAATTTTCGTGGTTTTGTCTCCAAGAAGTTGAATTTTGTATTTAACACAGACGGGAACCGGCGAAAGCGCAAGCGGGCGCTTGACGTTCATAATGTGTCATTTTATCGGGTCGTGGTTCTCCGAAATTTTGTCGGTAGCTCTCCAAAATTTCAATCTTGAAGACGGTTGTTGGCAAGAAATTGTAAACTTTTGACGATGTTCTTCACCACGGTGCCACTGGCTGGGAGGTTAAAATGATTTGTTTTATCGGAGTCATGACTCTCCGAACTTTTGTTGCTAACGGTCTAAAAATTGAACTTTTGGGAAAACTTTACCGGAAATTTGTCAAATGTTAAAAATATTCTTGATGGGATCCCAGTAACTGGCGCTCGAAATTATTTATTTCTCCGACAGTCCAGACTCTCTGAATTTTTGTCGCCAACAACTCAAGAATTCTACTTCTTCAAAATTTGTTGGCAGGAAATCCCAAATTGTCATTGATATTCTTGACGGAAGTCACAGTAGCAAGTGTTTTCCTTTTGTTTCCATTTCGTGTTCAAGGAGTTTACCCCCCCATTGGCGACGCTCTTCCGGCCGTCCTTTGATACACTTTCTCGCGCTAACACCGAATCTTCTCTATTGTAGGTGACGCCATCGTCATTTCCAGACGCCAGATAGGTTGTCGTCTCTCTCATTTTTCCCGATTTCGTGTTCAAAGAGTTTACCCCCTCGTTAGTGACACTCTTTCAGTCGTCCTCTGACGCACTTTCTCGCGCTAACACCGAGTTTTCTCTAATCTAGGTGACGCCATCGTCACTTCTACACGCCAAATAGGTTCTCGTAACATATCTTCCTGCCATGGATTCGGTAACCGAAATAAGTGCTCAGAGTAGTCGCAAGATTAACCCCGT